GAGTGCATTTTTCAACGCTTTAAACGAGAACTTAAAAGATGAACTCGCCACACTCGAGTCTCCGGTGAAACCAGAACCCAGGCCCGAACCAGATCCTGTACATTCTGTGTGTTTGTGCAGAATAAACTCTGTTTAACCATACTCCTGCTCCCGCCTCAGTGGTGTTCTACATAATTGGGAACCTCCTTGAGAACCAATCATGACACTTAGCTGCCAAAAGATGCGTTTTAGCCTAACTGGCTCAAGCTCCATCCCCAGTTAAATGAGCTGCTCTATCTGTAAAATGTACGGTCCCGTACCCTCTACCAGCAAAATCTTTAAAACCTCAACTTTGTGCCACCACTCTGACAGTGCTTCTTCCACTGCAGCAGCAAAAATGAAACATGAGGCATATTCAGCCAAGAATCCACCATGTGCAAGTGTTGCTTGAAGATGAAATAAAGGGGCTTCTTAAAACTGTTTACTTTGTTGCAGAAAATGAAATCGCCTAAGGAAAATTGTGCATATATATGCATTGATCTGAGGTAGGAATATATTAAGCTGCATAGGTAACCTGTTTTTTACTAGAAGGTTTTCAACCCTAAAAATATGTTCTTTCTTTAATCCCGGAGTTATGTCAGAAAACCCGATCAAGCAAGGGAAAGGGTAAGAGGGAGCAGCTGAAACAACAGCTAGGAAAGCAAAAGGTGGAAAATGAAAGCGACATTTGATCTGAGGTTTGATTAGCACAATATAAGACCTGTAGTCATTAACTAATCATCCCCCCCAAATGTATAACCTCCCCATTGACCAATTACCAATTAATTTTTTTTAAATGGAACCAATTTACAACAAACATCATCTGAAAACAATTCATCTGATCATACATACAGATTGGCTAAAAATGTTCTATTGAATGAAGACCAGCTGATCGCATTGAGTCATTGACTTTTCAGGATTTACTCCCCCTGGATCAGCCTGTGGCGACAGCAGACATTTGTTACCATTGTGTCGTTGACAGTACAGAACTCCCTCACACAGAGCATGCATGCAGTGACAGCGAAGGGGAAAGACTATGAGATGGTTTTCATTTAAAAAAGGATGAAACACGGGACTAATAACTGAAAAACAGGCCCAATTCTGTCATTTATTATCAATCTATTCAGGCTGCTCTTTTACTTTTACTTGATGTAATTTTTGTTTTGAAATCCCTCTAGTTTATCATAGAAGAATGAGACATTGTTAATTCAGCTTATTTTATGAAAAATAAATTATAATGTACCATTTGTAGAGCTATACCGATTCATTGTAAATAAACTGACCTTATTCAACTGGATGTAAGTAGCAAAAAGAGCTTAGTGGTGAAATTATTAGTAAAAGTAATAGACAGAAATGCCTTTGAAATTTGTCTATGGACTACAGTAGAAAAGACTGTTAATAGCTTAGAGGTGATGGAGATGTATCTTCTGCCTAATGATGCAACATGTTGGTGTGGCTCATGTCAGAGGAATATGATGCACTGAAGGGTTTTTTTGAGTATTAAATTGGAACTCACCTCTCGTATGGTCCAGAAGTATTTGCCGGCCAGATCCTTGGGTGAGGCACAGGTCTCCAGGTCGTCCTCTCTGGTCAGCCTTCGAAGCCACACCAGCTCACAGTTACAGTGAAGAGGGTTCCCCCCGAAACTCAACACCAACGCTGTGAGAGGAGAACCCTTCATCTTGGCGTAGACCGGGATCCGGAGGAACAAGGGGTCTGGAGGTATTTTTTTCAGCTTGTTGGATGTCATATCCAGTCTGAAGGGGACAAAACACAGATATCCTTGTTAATCTTCCCTACAGACATGTAAGGATTTCAGGGGAGAATTTAGGAAATTTGGGGCCCTTGGCAAAGACAGGCGGGGGGCCTTCTGAATTGAGAAGGCAACACATAAAACAGACCCATTATACAGATAGAGAAATTAATGGTCCCTCTCTTCTTGTCCATTTTCTTGTTGTTTTCCTCTCTATGTTTTGTACTCAGCTGACTTTTCATGCTGTCTCTAAACTTATTAAAGATTTTTTCCAAGCACTAATCCCACTTAGCTGATTGCTCCTTCCTGTGTTTCCAAAAAGGCGACAGCAAAAGTAAATAACCCAGTCCTTATTTTCACTGTAGACAAGCCATGATCTGCTTATCTGTTCTCCATTTTTCATTTGGATCAAATAATAGCTGCATGAATCATGACAGCAGACAAGATAGAGGAGAGCAGGAGGCGGGGTTAGCAATCTACTTGCTCGGGAGAGCAGAGTTCGCTGCTTTTAGATGTTGTTGCCAAAGTCTCCAGTAGCAGAAAAAGTTACTAGATTTGGCACTAGGTGTTTTTTCTTTTAATAAAAGTGCTAAAGGGGTCTAAAAAGTCGCTAGATATAGCGACAAAAGCGCTAAGTTGGCAACACTTCTCTTCGCATTTTTTGTTTTCAAATGGTTTGCTGCTGTCTGTTTGGACCTTTCTGAACATGTGCAGCAAACGGACTGATCCAATATGGTGGACGCTGAAGTGTTATTTGTATTCTGATGGCATTTTTGCGAAAAGGTTTTTATCAAAAGCATAAATAATATGCACAAATAAGCAATAGTTGTATTAATCATACATGTATACAGAGTTTTATGGGGCCCCCAGGAACTTGGGGCCCTGGGCAACTGCCTCGTATTGCCTAATGGTAAATCCCCCCCTGATCGGTTTGATACATCTTCAGAAAATATTGTAATTACATTTGAGGATGAATTTAGTAACAAAACAAACATATTTGCTGTCTTAGGAGTAAATACGACTCAGAGAAATACAACTGGGAAAAGTAAAGTTGGTTTTCAGAACTTCTCATCTTCAAAGTAGTTTCAGTGTATTTTTTTGTCTTTGCTGAGGAGGGGAATGTCTTTGAAGTCAGATTTCACCGTTTAATTTCTTCAACCATCTCTTTCTCCTCGTCTCAGAAAGCTGCTATAAATATGAACCCAGGGGATGTAATTATTTGAAAATAAAAGCCAACATTTCTTTAAAGTCAGGGACTTGGCAGGTCCAGACAGATAAGGTGCAGAAGTGAGAAGAGGAGAATGATTCAGAGGAGGCAAGAAAAACACTAGTGACTCATTTCTCCCAAATCATATTCCTGGTTTTTGGTGCTGATGTTTTGTGCCAAAGGATGAAGTGGGAGGCGAGAGCAGATGGGTAATCGATCATTCAGGTGGGAGGCCGTATGAGAACGGGAAAGGGAGTGAGAAAGGGAGAGGCTAAGGATCAAATGAGATAAAGAGAGAGGTGTAGTAAATGGTTCTTCTCCGTCAGGCCCCAGTTATCTTTATCTACTTGGCTATATCAGGAAAGAGCTGAAAGAATCACAAATTTCTGCTGCTGCGTTATAAATCTTAAATCTGGTTCCATAAATGTCTCTGAATGGGAAATTTCTGTGATGGAAAACCCTCAGTATCCTGTTCTGGCTGCACTTTAACTTCAATTTCAGTCATGTGAAGGTTGATTTAGACACTGCAGCCTTTCCTCAGCTGGGAACCATGAATACTGAGAGCTGCTGTGGACAAAAATAAAGAGCGGAATAAAAAAGTCCAAATGTAATAAGGAAAAACGACGTCTGATAAAGTATTGCTTTCTAACTTCCTTCTAATGTATAAAATGTCTAACCCTTGAATTAAACTCATTGATCCATTTCACAGGTTAGAAACAAATAGAGATCACCTGAGAACCAGACTACTAACTGAACCATGACAGAGATTCAGAACAAGAACCAGAACAATAGACTTAACCCAGATGCACAGAAATATTGATTAAAAACCCTCAAATGATTAAAAAACAATTAAGGACTTAAAAAAACACTTTAAGATCAGAATATTTGTTATAAAATGTTAAAAAACAAATATCTTTAATCAAACCTGTAAAAATGTTAAATAAATAAAACACAAATAACTCTCCAGCTGTCTACGGGCTGTCAGGAATCCAGTTTTTGTGGGTTATTTTTGTGTTTCCTCTTTTCCTGCACCAGGTGGTGCCCCGTCCTCATTGGGCCTCACTGCACACCTGCAGCTCGTTGCCTCATTACCTGTGGAGTGTTCTTAGCTGCTGACTGCTACTACCTCGGGGCTGAGTGTTTGCCAGTTTTGGGTACTCTAGCCAAGCTGAGTTTGCTGAGTCAAACTGAGTTTATGTCAACCTGAGTTTTAATCATTGTTTTTTGTCTTTGCCTCTCGGCAGGAAGTCATCCTGCAAACTGGATTTTTCGGACCTTCTCTCCCAGGAAGGATCAACTGAGCTTCAAACTGAGCTGGGGATACAAACAGGAGGTTTGGATCCACTTCCCCCCAAGAGGTCGTTTGAGTTTCACACTGAGCAAGGGATTCATCTGCACCAGAGCCCATTCAAGTACCGCAGGAAATCTGAGTGGCAGTCAGCATCTCTGTTCACCAAGGAACAACCACAGTCTGAGTAAACCCTGTGCGCCCAACATCAAACAAGACAATCACTGGAACATCCCACACAGACTGGATTCTATAAAGGACACCATTTCTGGAAACGTGAGTCTGCAACCTATTGCTCCTCTTCAAGCCAAAGAATCTAATTTTAAATCTAATTTAATCAACTGAGCCTGAATTAACCGCAGTGTCTTCCCCTCACCTTTCAGTTCTGGTTGAGCAGTGTTCAGAGCAGCATTGGACTCATGTCATTATACTAATAAACCAGTTAAACTTTTCCCTGGTCTCTCTGTTTGGTCTTCTGCATTTTGGGTCTGAACTTTAGTAAAATCATGACACGGAGAAGAGGCGGGGTACACCCTGGACAGGTCATCAGTCCATCGCAGGGCAACACAGAAAAAACAACGGTTCCCACACACACTCACATAAGGATAATTTAGAGAAGCCAATTAACCTAACAGTCATGTTTTTTGGACTGTTGGAGGAAGCCAGAGTACCTGGAGGGAATCCTCGCATGCTCAGGGAGAACATGTAAACTCCATGCAGAAAGGCCCCAAGCCTGTAATCGCACCCAGAACCTTCTTGCTGCAAGGCAGCAGTTTTACCCACTGTACCACTGAGCTGCCCTAATCCAACATAAATAAACTGAAAAATTACTTTAAAGTCTGTACCCCCTCCTCCCTCAGAGAGTGGTAATGTCAGGCTGAATGATCTCTAATATATTGTTCTCTGGGTTTGGGTTAAAACTGTTTCGGTATATTAAACGTCACTATTTAAACTCTGTAACTGAATATCTGATGTTTTTACAACCTGTAAGCTCTACTGTCAGACATCCTGTTGTGATGAGACCCACGTGAGGCTGAAAAGAGCTCTAATTTTACTGATATTTTCCTGGGTTCTGCAGACTGACAGTAGATGACTTACCAGACTCCATTATTTTCTCATTAGAGGCTACTTTATCCGAGGTAAGATATTTCTTTACAGACAAGGCTGTCATTTTGTTGTAATTTAACAGGAAAAGTGTCCTTATGAAAAACTACTTCTGCAAACGGAGAGCCTCCCATCCAAATTCATCCAGATGTTGCTCAGATGATCTTCTAGTTTCCTCCATTTAAGAAATGGCTCAAGTCCTTCAAGGAAACCATTTAACTGATTGGACCAGCTGAATTTGGCTGTCAGGTCATTATGGTTATAATAATTATCAAGATTTGTTTTCATTTGATGCAATAATTTTAGAGATAAATTGTCGGAGATTATACATTATGAAAAAGTGACTAAATGGAACCGAAGCAGAACAGACAGTAATTTGAATGAACTTATTGTTTTAAAGTGGGAGGAAAAATAAATCTTCTGATGCTGTTATAATATGTGAGGAATCAACGTTCTCACACACATCTGCATTTACAGTAGAAAGGGCAAGCTTATGTTCAAGGTTATATGAGCAACACGCGGTGGTATTCAAGTTTTGGGGACTTAACAATGACTGTGACTGCAGTCACTGGAAAAAAAAAAAAAACCTCGCTACACCTGGGTGTGGTGTGAGGAAGGAGGGATTTCTCTGAAATCACAAAGGCAATAAAACTGCAGCTCTCTAGTATACCTGAAGATTTCTCATTACATACAGATGTAGCCATTCAAAATTTCCCCACTTTCCTTGATGGCCTCTTGGCTGGTCCTTGGCTGGTCCTCTACAATTCCATTTTAAACATCGATCTTTGTATTAAAATATTCTTTCTGTCATGATTTGTGGACATAAAGATAAAAAGAGAAGCGCTATCTCCTGTTCAGACTGTGTAATTCAGTAAAAGGGTGCAGTCATAGTAAATAAAATGGACGCCCAGGAAAAGGCCGGTGGCTGGAAGTTGGAGGGGATTTGGCAGGTAGTCGCATTGGAGGGGGCTGCCATTCAGCTGGTGTTTGACTGGGAAGGGACATTTTGAATGGCTGCTACTGTAAGTAAAAAAAAGACCTCCTAAACTCTGAAAGACTTTAAATAAATGACAGCAAAACATTCCAATAAAACGATAACTAATGAGTGATCATAAACTGATTCGAGACAGGCTGATGGAGGCACAATGGTGGGTTGAGGAATTTAATAAAAAGAAATTTGCCTCAAGAGGTGGGTAACAAAAAGGGGTGGAACGGCATCAGAAACATATATCAAATATAAAATGTGCATGACGTTTTGGATGAAAACACGGCTACTGACTAGAGTCCTGATCAACATGGCCTGGGCTGAATGATGCCTCTCAAACATTTATTACACATCTTCAACTATCTGTGACATAAAGGCTGCCGTGAAACACCATAATCATAAACCTAAAGGTGACTTTGCTGAATCATCAATACCTTAAAGCACGGACGACCCACGGGTCTCACAAAATTCATCATGTCAAAGTCTGATACACCTCAGCACCAAGACTCAGTTTTATCATGTTCATTGTCTGTGACTTCTTTTAGTGAAATATGGCCAAAGAGAGCAGATCTGGAGTTCCTCAAGGCTATGTTTTTAGTTCAGTTACATTTTCAATCATTATCTTGTAACGAATGTCCTGAAAAGCGAATCTGTGGTAGCTACCAATCCCTTAAATACTGAGCAGGTGGCGTAAAGTACAAGAGCTGGGTCTAGAGACAAAGATGCTTTTATGTCTTAAGCCGGAGATGAATTAGAGAAGATACATTACTTTGCTCTGCTTTTGAGACAAAACTTAAAAAACGATATAAAGGGAAAACATCATATCAAAGCAAGAGGGGGAAAAAACCTAAACAGCGTTCAGATTGCTATGGAAACATGCTTTTAATCTAGAAAGTGTTTTTACACACGTTTTTACTCCACTGCCCTTTGGTTTAGAATCAGGAGGAGGGGAGCACAGGAAAAATACTTGTAAAAAAAATGTTTAAAGGCAGTTCAAACATGAAATAATACCAGTTCAGTATTTTAAGGTTTTAAACTAAAGTCGAGCATCCAAATGAATCATTTACTTTCTCTCTGCTTTTTAATAAAAAAAGATTTATTTAACTGGAATTTCTTTCCGGATCTCTGAGCTCACATAAATGTTATTTTCACTATGGACATATTTATGAAAAACATGATCTTCATCAGAGGAAGATTCAGGCTGAAATTGTTTTAATTGGAGGAACTTGAAGAGCATTGAGAGCTGGAAGTTTTGCAGTAGATGGATCCATTTGTTTTTCATTTCCAATGTGGTGCCAGCAGCAGAAAATCAAATAATACAACCTGAAAAAAAACATCTTAGAAATGCAGAATGAATCCACATAATTCTCCCAGTTTAATTGATAAATGTGATAAAAGATAATGAGATAAATTAAATTATAAGTCCTTATATAGAACGTCTTCATCACCCAACGTAACAAACACTGCATGACCCACTTCTAGACAGAACAAAGAGCCTAAAAACAGAACCACAGCTTTTCTATCAGCTGAATTTGCAACAGTTAGTTGAAGAGATCCAAAGCTGAGTGGTAGCAGAGCCCAAAGACTGCATCGTGTGAAGAGAATTGCTAAGGTGTTGCATTCTGCCCAAGTGCTGTGATCTGAGACATACCTGGCCAGTTTGTGGAGATTAGAGAAGATTCCCTCAGGGACGCTCTCAATCAGGTTGTGGTCCAGGCTCAGGGTGTTGACGCTGACCAGCAGAGCAATGGTGTCCCAGGGGATGTCCACCAGGTTGTTGTAACTCAGGTCCAGGTCCTCCAGGGTCTCCAGGAAGTCCTGCAGGCAGGGTGGCATTGCACACTGTGAGCATCATGCACATTTAACCAATGCAGAGGAAGTTTCCACTTTAACTGACAGGTTAAAAAAACAAAAGGACATCTACAGAGTGGCTCTAATCATCATAAAAAATATTCTCTGAAATGGTAACAGAATAAAATGAAATACAAAAACTCTTCAGATGACCCCAGAAATGTCAGAAAATAACTGCTTCTTCAATCGTTTTTATGTCAGAAGCACTGATTATCTTCTAAATCACTGCTTTTATAAGAAGATGAAAATAATATGCATGAACATTTTCTAATGCTAATCAAAAACAAACAATAAAATTTGCATGACATAAAAACATTTGAACAAACTATGGATCATCTACAAATCAGCAGAGTTCTATGTCTCGAGTTCCGAGTCTCCACTACTGTGCCCCCCCGCACAGTACAGTATTAAAAATGTCCCCACTTTCCTTGATGGACCCTTGTCTGGTCCTTGGCTGGTCCCCTACAATTTCTTTTTAAACATCAATCTTTGTACTAAAATAATCTTTCTGTAATGATTTGCAGACATTAAGATCTGAAGAGAAGTGTCATCACCTGGTCAAACGCTATAACTTAGTGGAAAGGTGGATTAAAAAAAAATGATATGCAAGAGGGGGTGACTCCAGTGGCTGGAAGTTGGGGGGGATATTGCTGGGAGTTGCAGGGAAGTGGGCTGTCATTAGGCTGGGAAGGGCCATTTTGAATGGCTGCTACTGTATTTTTCATACTGCAGTTTAGATAAATTTCGCACTATCTGGCTTCTAAAGAGTTACCAAGAAAATAAATTCATTAATTCATTAGAAATAAGTTAAAGAAGAACCAGAGAAAAAGATGGAAATGCAGGTAAAAGGAACAGCAAAAATAGTGAAGCTCAACAAAAAAAAGAAAACTCTGAAAATAAATAGAAAACTCTGAATGAAGAACTGAAGACTGCTGCGGTTAATGGGCCTTAGAAACAGGCTTCAGTGGAGAGATAATATGAGAAATGAAGATAAATAGGAGGGAGTTAACTGATCCTGGTCAATGGTGACCAATCAGAGCATGTTGTTTTCTCTAATCATGTCCATGTTATTCACACAGCTTTGCACAGCTTACATCAGGATGGAAAACAGGGCAGCTTGTTGATCTGCCAACATGGACTTGTCAGGGCTCTAATTACTCTCATAATGCACATAATTAGGACACTCTCTGATTTTTATAATTCCTCAGCTTTCATCGCAACAACTGGTGCTTGCTTTCTATATGTAATTATGAGCAACAAAAGAAAGTCTGAAAGCTGTGAAAATGAGAATGAGGAGCAGAAAATTACTCCTGACTGGCCTGATTTACACAAGAGGCCTGCTTTTAAAGATGATTGTGGGAGTGACAGACAGACAGCTGGGAATATATGGATGCAGACAGTTTTCCCTGCAATGGAGGACAGTCCAGGAGGCTGGAGAAGCTGGGAACAAAAGCAGGTTTAAAGTGAAGTGGTGGCGGTCTGGAAACGAGTGTTTCCTTTGAGTTTTTGTGAAAAATTATACAATTCAATTTCCATCCATCCATTTTCCGTCGTGCTTATCCCAAGTGGGGTGGCGAGGGGTGATGGTGTCTATCTCCACCTTTCAATGGGTGAGAGGCGGAGTCCACCCTGAACAGGTCGCCAGTCCATTGCAGGGCAACACAGAGACAAACAGGACAAACAACCATTCACACAAACGCACACACACCTAAGGAGACTTTAGAAAAGCCAATTAGTGCCACCCACTGTGCCTCTGAGCAGTCCACAATTTAATTTAAATTCAGTTTAGTTATATACTACCAATTCAAAACACATGTCATCTCAAGGCAGTTCACAGAGACGATCATACAGAACTCTTAACGGAGATCTGGAAAGTGTTGTTACATTTACATTTAGGCACAATGAGTCAGATCTCTGATGAACCAACTCTGGTTACAAGCCTTTTAGATTTCATCTCCCAAAATTCTCAACATATTCAGAGTTATAGTTTTTACTTGACTCTTCTTGGTTAAACAACTCAAGCTCTGTCCGGTTGAAGAACAGCCAATAAGATCAGTTGTCAATTGCCACAGACCCTCAGATGGATTCAGGTCTGGACTTTGACTATGCCACGTTAACTTATGAGTTTGCAGTGATCCCAACCAGATGCCTGTAGCTCTGGATGCATGTTTAAGCTGGTTGTTCTGCTGGATGGTGATAAAGCATGATGGAGCCACTGCCGTGCTTCACTATGGGGATGGTTTGTGTTCACTTCTAATGGCTTTAAGCAGTTTGCCAACTGAAGAACATTGTTCTGACTGTGAGATCCAATGATTCCCAACACGTTATGGAAGAACTGAGATTCAGTAAGGGAAGGAAGGTTCTGACCATGTTGGGCAGAAGCTCGTTTTAGTCACATGGACCCAAGCCAAATCTGTTTATCTCACTAGAATATGATGATGTTTCCCTAACATTAAAAGTGAAATATAAATACGGATAAAAAAGGAAACTATTATGTAGCCTCTCCTTCCACAAAAAATCACTATGAAGAAGCACTATGTATGATTCTGATGTTTTTAGTGAAACTTGTGACCCCAGTGGTGGTGGATGTCCTCCTGAGGATGGTCTTACCTGAAAGGCCCCCTCTGATATGCTGTGCAGCTGGTTGTTGGCTAGAATCAAGTGCCTCAGGTTCACCAGGCCCTGGAAGTGTGAGTCGTCCAGAACAGTGAGGCGGTTAGCATCCAGGTGAAGGGCATGGAGGTCTTGCAGGTCTGCAAAGGTGTATGGCCTGATCTGGCTGATCGTGTTTCGGCTCAAGGTTAGGTGGATCTGCGAAAGAAAAAAACATAGTAAACACAACAGATCATTATACTGCTGGAGATACAACAACCTAAAAACTCTAGAGTGCCACAGAGAGATTTCCCTGCTTCAGGATCATCTGGACTAAATTTAATAATTAATTAAAAGATGAATCCATTGCCTATCATTGAAGATGGCTGCAACAATAAACAAATGTAATACTGCTTAAAAGTTTTCTAACAAAGAAAAGTCAGCTGACTGCATCGAGTCGTTGACTTTGCAAGATTTGTTAATCTTTGATGAGCACGTGGCATCAGTTGATGTTTGCTTTAATTTTGTTGTTAACATGTCCCTCCACTATGTGCTGTACGTTAACACCCGGTGTGTAAGTAAAAAAAAAAAAAAGTATTAGTCAAAGTAACTAGTTATTTCTCTCAAAAAGTAACTGAGCTACTCCACAATAAAAGTAACTAGTAAAAGTAACTATTGCATTACTTTTGCGTTTCTCGCCCCCTTAACCCTCACCACCAGGCCCCCACCTTCTTGCCGTGTGTTTCAAAAGCCAGCTGAATAGAGTGGACGACAAGAACCTGCAAAGATTTTTGCATTTATTGCAACTCAACGTAAATGACATCAGGGGGGAACGCTATCTAACGGGCCTATAAATCCCGTCAGATACCGTTCCTCCTGCTTAACATGGGGGGAACGGTATCTGATGTGGTGTAAATACCATCAGGCTGCATTACCTCTACTCATGGGTGTGTAAGTTCTTTAACAGGGTGTTCAGATCTGGTGAGTGTATGAAATTAATAATTGGGGATGTCTAATTCTGAAATCCTGTGTTTGGGTTGTTATAGATACTACAACATCCATCCATCCATCCATCCATGCTAACATTTGATCGTTCACGCTCTCCCGAGTTCCCCTGTTTGCGAGCACAGGGCGGCTGTTACGCGCCTTTAGCGAGCATGCGCGTTTCCTGTTGTTTGCGTGGTGAATTGTGCCGGCAGTGCTGCGTGGAGATGCAGGGGAAACCGTATGTGATGTGGAAACGCAGCTCGACGAAAAACAGGTATTTCCATCTGGAAAACGCTGTTTTGCTGCTGGAGTCCTCCTCACTCTCCATCTCTCTGTATGTGCTGTACGTTAACACCCGCCAGCAGAAACACCCACCTATCAAACTGACAGATCTAATCTCATTATGCATCGGCCAATCTCATCCTCACCTCTCTCATGTTAAGGCGCGCACGAGTCCTATCATGGAAAAAAGGGTAATTGTGTGACCTGAGTAACGTGCAGTAACGGGGTGTCAGCAAAGGTAACTGCATTATAGTTACAGTCAAAGTAATTAGTTAGATTGCTCGTTACTAAAAAAGGTAACGCCGTTAGTAACACCGTTACTCTCATCACTGGAGATGGTTCATATCAGACAAAGGCTTTTTCTTTAACCAGTAGAGAATTCAACACTTCAGAACAGGACCTGAACCAACAACCCAGAGCAACAGTTGGATCAAAGTGCTTCCAATGGTCCCTGAATGTGAGGGTGTTCCAGAACTCACCAGGCTGGTCATGTTGGCAAAGTCCCGGTGCCTCAGTGTGGTGATGAAGTTGTCCATCAGCCGGAGCTCAGCTGTCTGCCGATCAATGTTGGGCGGGACAAAGAGCAGGCCCGTCTTGGCACAGAGCACCGTGTAGGATGGCAGCAGGTTCTGGCAGGTGCATCGTTTTGGGCAAAGCATGTCGGAGAGGCAGGAAGGAAGGCAGTACAGGAGGATGAGAAGAGGGCAGAGCAGCAAGGAGGGGGCGTCCATGTTTGTCCGTCTGTCTTTTGACAGAAAAGAGAGAAAATGTTAGAGAAAAGATCAGAAAACACCACAGATCTGAAAACTAGAGCCAAATCTGACCCAGCGTTTGTTTCATTATTAGGAGACTCACTCTACTAGAAGAATCTCACAGCCAGCACTGCTAACTGGGCAAACCACAATCAATGCTACTTACAGTTAATGATAGTTTACCCTTATCTTTTCTGTATAGTACATTGTTTTAAAATTAAGAAAAGCCAAATAATATCTTGTGAGGAGTCTTGACAATATGGACAAACCTTTCCTTCTTCAGTGACAATATTAGGAATGAAATGACACTGTTGTCTGCATACTGGAAACTTGAAGGCTCATAAACTTTTTAATTATTTTGTCATTTCAACCACAATTAGAAGCCACCAAATTAGTAAACCAAGTGGAGCAGTGAGAAATTTAAACTTAGCCAGTCAGTGTTTTGGCTCAGTTTCTTCAGACAACATCATGAACACCAAAGAAGGTTCTGAACATCCCTCAGAGCTTTGTACAATTCAATTTATTTATATAGCAACAATTCACAGCACATCTAATCTCAAGACACTACAGAGATACACCTTTCCAACAGGGAAACACGGTGGTGGCAGCATATTTCTATAAAGGAACTAAACTCCTGACCCTGGATGCTCAGCCAAAGCTTTAATAGATGGTTGCAAAAGCTGATTCATTTCCATGAATGGACTAGTTAAAGTCTGCAGCGTAATCCCCTGAGAACCAAACCAGTTTGACCGTGTCAGTTTGGTCTGCAGAAGATTAAAGCTCCTGGAGACAAGACTCAGAAGTCATTTAAGAGTGTAATGTTCATAACCAGTTCTTATGTTTGTTGTAGATCATCCCAAAACACAAAAATTCATTACCATATAAGAAAGCAAAGGGATTTACAGTTTTCACACTTATCTATGCCGCCAGCATTCAGCCATACATGTGGCTTTCTATATGGTCAACAGGACTGTCACCATCCAACAGTATCCACTAAAATCAATATTAACACTCAGGGTTTGGGTTTGGAGGGAGTTTTTGATATGAAAATATTGATCTAAGCTCATAAATGTTTATGTCAGGGTGAGATGAGGAGTCTGGACTTGAATGATCTTCTCTGGAAAAGAGGAGCAGCTTTTCATTCTCTACTCCTGGATAAGATTTATACACCTGGAGATATGATGGCATTTTTAATGCCTTCAGAAAGTTTTCTGCACCTTCATCATTATTTATAATGTTTTATAAGAACTTTGCAGTTAGAAGTTTTCCAGCTGACAGGAGAATGTGAAGCGTAGCAGAGCTGTGATGGAAAACGAAAACTGTTATTGTTTGCTGACTCAGAGGCTGCAGGAGTAAACAGGACCAATTAAACGTACTGCACTCTAAGGAGAGCACAAATTACTAGCTGTCACACTTACTAAATTTCATCGATCTTCCCAGGGATGTAAATGTTGAACTTTCCCCTCAAATATGGCAAAGGAATACTCTGCCACTCATTTCCCTCTATTGGAAATGTGAGGATCCAGAATTAATTAATGTGGAGGGAAAGGAGAATAATAGTGGGAAGAAGCCCGCTCTTGTTTACAACACTGATATATTCAAACTGCAGAATACTGAGTAAGAGGTCTTAATAGATCCCACATGTAGCTCTGAAAGTCTCCGCAGTTATGTCAGAGTCTGATAGAGGAGATAAGTTCAATAGAAAACAGCGAGAACGAGAACCCACAACCAAGCAGAGAACAGGACGATCCTTTGAGCACTCAGAAAATAACCATGGATGACTGCAAGTCATTAAGTTGTCACTTGTTTGAGATGTTCTGGCAGAATAACAGAGTTCAAGAGTTTTGGTTGTTCAATCTTAAGAGTCACACCTCACTCTCCAGTTTGATTCACGAGTAATTACCAATCCTCCACTACTTGGGAGCCATATTTGTGCTGGATTGCACCAGTAGTATGTTGTTGACAAGGTGGAGAAGCATTAGGACTGATGAGGTCTGCAGCCATGATGCTCGGGTCTGTCAAAAGGTGCAGCTTGTTTAGGAGCTTACCTTTGGTCCTTCTGAGCTACACACAGGATGAGCTTAAGTCATCATACTGTAAAATTAATCAGCGCACTTAGATTTTTCCATTTAGACTTGTGTTTTACTAGAATTCTATGTGACACACAAACACAAGGCAGCACAAGGCGCAAATACCATGTTAATTGTATGTAAACAGAGGTGTTACATCGAATTTATGGATCCGATGTGACTGGCGAGGTGTGTCGACGTCCGTATGTTGCGCTCTGGTAAATTAGCGAGTCGTTCCAGGTCTGATGTTCTCAATTTCTGAACATTGGAGCCGAGGCGATTTTAGCCCGGGTCGCTTGACGATTCCTTTGACACTGGTTGACATAGGCTAGTGAGCTATTTCTACTGCCACAAAAAGCAATTGTTTCCGGGTTTAAACTGTTTTCGGCTACAGGGAGAGGGGTATTAGTCGCTACAGTTGGTCCATCCTCTTTTTGCAGGTAGTGAAATGATTTTAGTCATCTTCACCAAGCTCAAAAAGAGACACTTTATTTTGATTTAATATCAAAAAGCATGTTGAGTGTTGTTTGTATAAATATCTGGGTTAGGCATTACTGTTTGTTGTAAATGGTGCAGTTGTGATGTCTTTAGGTTTTCTGTGGTTTCTTTTTTTAACTGATGGTTTGTTATGATCCATGCCTAAGACATGTTGGTAATTACACACAACATCAGCGAAAACTCCCCGCAGCTGTGCAAAGCTGCCCAGTTCTCCATCAGTTGTAAACATCCAGAGAAGCAATCAGCGTGTTAATGCAGGAGAATCCTGAGATGACTTTCTGATGGGTTCAGATGCAGAGAGAGGAGGCTGTCCAAAGAGCGCTGCTACTCTGAACAGATTTAATTTGTTCAGTCAGGTCTGCTCAGCGTGAGAAAAATGCAAAGCAGCTCCTATTCCATCTCTGTCGCCCTCTCCTCTTTTGATCACTCGCTCCTTAAACACAAGTGCTTCTCATTTCAATTGCATCCCTCCTTCTCTCCATCCCCCACTTCTATTTCTGCAGAACTCTTCACCAACAGCAATCACTCTTTTATACCATCTCAACCTGCAGCCGCCATTCGTTCAGTGACTCTGGTTCCATCCCTATCAGCTCACATTTTCATCCATCTCTGCACATCTACATCTCCCTCCTGTTCTCGCCTGCTGACTCTGATATCTTCCTCCTTCATTACTCTGACCTTTGCTTGTTGATTTTCACACCGTTGTGCTCATGTCAGTCTCAGTTCCATTCATCAGGATTGCTCTGTTTCAGGCCGGTGGAACTATGGCATCTTTAAAAAGAAATGTATACTTTGAAATACCCAAGGGAGTTTATACATCAATGAGCTTATTACCTTATGTCTTTTTAATATGTCTAAAGGCTGCAGAGCAAAAGACTGAGTTTTGTCCCAGCTGTTGTATAAAACCTGTAAGGTCAACCAATGGTTGGTGTAAAGTTTTTTTGGGGGGAAAACTTGGTTTATTATATAAACTTCAGCTTGAAAATGATCTGTTTTTAAGAGTGAATGGATCAGTTCCCAAAAGCTTGTGTAGCCTTCTCTTCTGCATAATAAAAAAAAAAATGTGGGTATAAAGATCAATACATTGAATGAAGCATAAGAAAGTATGGTTTCCATGATAAGAGTTAAATAATGCTTGCCTGACGGAGATAATTCTAGTAGTAGGAGTAGAAAGTGCTGGCTTCTGTTTTATGGGTCATCTGGCCTTTGGGTCACCAAACCATGGATGTTATTCACTTCCTAAATCACTTTATAGAGTGTATTATCATCCCTGGTCCTGGTTGCTGTGTTTAAAGATCAGATTTCCAGCTGTTTCTTCCAGAGGTTAAGCTTGTTGCACATGATGTGATTCTGTTGAAATCATCCTGTTCATCATAAACTGGAGCTGTTTCTAGCCAGAAGCTGGGAGCCCACGGTTCTCTAAACAAAATGGAATGTGTCCTCTTAACCAGCATAACAAAGGAGAAGGACAGATGGAAATGTGAGTAGTTATAAGGACCTGAGTTCCTGAGGGTTTTTCTTTTTTGTTTGTTTTTGTTTTATTGGTTTAATTCCTAATTTGTGGTGTTTTTTTTTAGGGGTATTTGAGTTCTTAGGTATTTCTTGATTTCTCTCTGTTGCCCTCTTGTGTTGGTCTCTTTCCAAACTCCTCTGTTCACACCTGCTCCCAATCTGCTGATTAGCCTGGTCTTTGTTTCTCACTATATGCACTAGGGATGGGACGATTTATGAAAACCGTCCGAACCGTTCGGTTCGACTGTCTCGGTTCGATTCGCGTGTGTTTCGTTCGGTTCATGCGCTGCTCCTTTTTCTCATAGGCGAAGCGCTTACACTCCAGAGCAGAAGGTGGCGGTACTGCGACCAAAGCCAACCACCAGTAGTAAACAAGAAGAAGAAGAAGCAGGGAAAAAAATCAGTTGTTGTGGAGAATTGTGTCGGAATGGCGAGTGCGAAAGAACAGGATTTGTAAGACGCTTTGCATTTAGATTGACCTACGATGACGGCGGGAAGAAAGTTGTGGATAAAAGTGCAACAGTGTGCAAGCATTGTGCAACACGTTTTGTTTATGCTAACAGTTACATGACCAACATGTCATGCTAACCCCAAAATCCCTCATACTCCGTCAGCGCTCCGCCCCGCTGCGCTCCAGACCGGCTGCTCAAAGCAAAGCCTACAGCCTCCACTGTGGCTTCGTCCGCTCCCCTCTGAGTCCCTTGGAGATGGTAGAGAGCATGCGCGAGATTATTAAAAAAGCAGCAAAACATATGGAAATGATCCAGGGTTTCCGCGGATCATTTAAAATAATTACAATCCATTATTTTTTGGGGGATTTTTTCATTAATTTTTTATAAATTTTTATGGGATTTCGGTGTAACAATCAACATATACCGAACCGAACCAAACCGAAAACCGTGACCACGAAACCG